TTCCAATTAATTAGGCTTAGCTCGTTGAAGTCCCTAAATGTTAAGGTCTTGGATTCTGTTCTCTTTAATAATTCTCTAATATAAGGTAGTTGTGTTAATATTACGATTAAATTAATGGTAGATGTAGCATAATTTTTAGTCGCCAAAATTTCAGTAAAAATTAACTTCTGAATTCATAATATCAAATGTACGACATCTAGTTCTAAAAACATTAGAGACCAAAAAATTTAAATCTTGAATCCACCTATAACTTATATTTCAGATCATTTCACTAATATACAGGATTACACACGTATATATGTTCACCAACTTTTTCGTTGGTACAGGAAGCAGAATTGCAACAATTTTTCTCCCTTTCTTCTTGGAAAAATTACTGATAGATTATATAAAATATATGTGATAGTGATAATATTATTTCTACGTGTTACGTACCGTAGATTTCTCAATATGAAAGAAAGATTGGTAAAAAAAATAGACGTGAAAAATGGAAAGTTTATCGACTTAAACCTTAAGGAGGTTTTCTTAAATTGAAATGAGCTTGTCAGTTATTTTTTTTTTCCGGGTTCATGAATTACAAGAAAAACAAAACAAAAAGGGAAAAGATGATTACGATTTTTTCTTCTTTTCTCGACTCTATTGAATGATTATTTCCGGAAAAATAATAAATACCAATTAAATAATAGATTTAATTACTTGTTTTGTTGCATATGTAAGCTTTTCGATTACTTAAATACTTTTGTGGCCAAGAATAAGCATTTTTTTTCTCGTCTAATCTTTGCTTTATTTCATCTTTTTTCCTTTATTTCCAGTATAAAGTTAGGATACAGAGAAAAGACTGCATTATTCTTCGGTCTCAGTCTTCTTGCGACTAATTTTCGTTATTCCCGGCATGAGAATTCAAAACACTTAGTTTTTTCTTATTATTGGATTTGTATTGTTACCTGATGTTACTTTTGCTTCGATTATCTCGTTGCTGCTACTCTTCTTTTTCATGACTTTTTCACTACTATATTTCATTTTCTTTATTGCTGCGATTATGCTTACATGAGCCGAGGGTCTATTGGAAACAACCTCTCCACCTGATAAAGTAGAGGTAAGGTTAGGTCTGAATACATACTAGGCTAGGTCTGGGTTGATACTACTCTCCCATGCCCGTTTATGAGGATACACCGGATATATTGTTATTGTTGTTGAGTGCGTGAAACAAACTGAAACTTTCTTGCCCTTTAGAGCTTGTTCATTAGTTGCATACACTTATGTGACCTACAAAATACATATTTATTTTTAAAAAACCCATAAGAATTGAAATATTTGAAGCTAATGTATTGCTCAAACAAACTTGTAAAAACCTATACCTAGCAGCATCTCCATCTAAATTTTGCCAATTTAGGCTATTAGAGAATTTTTACGGGATTACCTGTAGATAGAGGGGGATCTATGTGTAACTTTAACGAGTCACCTCAAAAACTTCGCAAGAAATTTTGCATATGTATATACCTTGAAAATGGTTAATTTAAATAATTTAGTATTCCGAACACTAAAGGCCTTTAGGCGGCACTAATTGGGCAGAATACTGGTGCCCCCATCGCGTTAAAATCGTGTGTCCGCCTATATCAAAATATACTTTATGTACTTAAATAAATAGATGCTTGCGCGGAAGTGGTTGAACAAACGCATAATTAAACAATATAGATATACGCAGACGTTGGTTGGTACTAGGTATTTTCGTTTTAATTTAGGTTACTATAAATATATATATGGTCCAAGATAAGTTCTAATTAATAAAAAAATCTAAAATTTTCGGGGGTGGTTTAGGTTTTTGGTGCTCAACAAATAAATTTTAGATTAAAAAAATGAACTCGTAACATAGTATTTACAAAATTATAACTAACCTATAGATTCTCTAATGTCAAGGAACATAGTATGAAAACCAATCGTTTTGGCCATAGTTTTTTCTTTTTTAAATTTTTTTCAAAAATATTTTGAAAACATTGTTTTGGTTATAAAAAAGTAATCAGTTTTTGGGTAGTTTTTGAAGTTGAATTTTTCAAGTATCAAAAAGTAGTTTGACTAGTTTAATTTTTTGAGTTTTTGAAGTTATCTAGTCACAAAACTTCAATTTTTTTTTAAGTAGAATGTCTATCCAAACACAATTTCATCTTCCAAATATATGTCACCTAAATCTATGTCCAAATACTAGTTAAATATTAGCGGTGAACTGTGTTCTATATGTGCTCGGCCTCTTAAGAAAAAGGTACCATCGGTGTGTCAGGTTTTCTAAAATTTGTGCATTTTGGAGGACCCGACAAAATTTGCAATAACATTTTTGAAAGGTCTGAACAACAAAAACAGCAGTAAAGAGAAATTCTAAATATAAAACCCTCATTTCTAACAAAGATTTCTCCTACCAGAGTAAGTTAAGTAGGAAAAGAATAAATAACAAAGGAGTTTGGTTCATGTGGAAGCATGGAATTCAAAGTACAGTCATGCATGCATTTCTTGCATACTTCTAACTCATTAAACTCTAAATAAAACAGCCCGGTTAACTAAGCTCCCGTTATGTGCATGGTTCGGAAAAGGACCGGACTATTAAACACTGTTTGCTTTAATTTTTGAACATCAAGAAAAAAAAGAGAACCTTTTGCTATCAATTCTAGAAATTAATAGATCTTAGTCAGTGTAAGTCCTACGGATTATATTTTGGTCAAATTATATAAAATTTCAGAGTGGGAAAATACAAGGAAAACACAACAGACTCACTTTCTTCTTTCAAATTGATGGAAATGAAGGTTCAAAAAAAGAAAAAAGAGTAGTCTCTCGCCTCCTGCTTTCCAACAAAGTGCTGGGAAATTCTCTAATAAATTCACCTCATTTTAAAAAACAATTTAAGTTATATACGTTATCGGTATAATTTAACCCGTTATAATATATTAATTATTACTTTTATCAAGTTATCAATTAGAGTCTAAGTTCTATACACTGATAATACGAAAGAATTTTTAATCTATCAATATACATAAAAGATAACAACAAGTTAGTAAGAATTAATCCATAAAAAGGGAATTAGTTACCTGCAAAAATAAAGCAGGTTAACATTTAGATAAAGCTTAAACTCGTTAAAAATAAATTTATGTTTAGGACTCCAAAAACATCCAAGTTTAGGTTCAATCTTCTTCTCAAGATTATAAAATATAACAAGATTTCAGTCACCCAAGCATATGATTTATTTAAATCTCGGTATGACAAGCTGTGTGTAATATTTTAGTTTTTGAACGAACTCCCAAAATATGTATCCTGATCTAAGTAGACATGACTCAGTTTTTAGTTTATTTATTATCACTTAGCAGCCTAGATCATTGGACGCGTGTGGTTGGTGGAGATGTTTGGCATGATAATTTTTTTTCGGGTTACAATGATGATTTAACTATCGATGCATGTGAGTTTCATTCTCTCAACGAGAGAAAAGCAAAAATGTTCTTCAAATTTGATAAGAATAGAGTTCGTGCGCCTTAATTAAGCTTCATGTGGTGAAATAAGATTTGAACCAAATGTGTATGTCCTTTTTGAATTTTCATATGGAATAATCCTTTTAAAGCCAAGTAATGGTGTAGCATTACTCAAATATATTGTAATAGCTCTTGGGATTGGTGGTTCCTAGAAAAAATTTTATACAGACAATCCAATGAAATTTATCTTTTTGTTTTTGGTTTAATTATTCTTTTAATGTGGTCTATAAAATTAGTTTGCAATTTATATATTTTCCAACTTCACTCTCCACTTTTTTTTTGTTTCTTTTATCGATCCGCGTATTGCGCAGATAATATATACTAGTATATATAATTACAAAAGATAAAAAATTATCCTCACCCAATATTTATATAAGTATCTTATAACTGTATAGGTACCTAAACTCAGTATACTATATTTTTCCTCGGAAACAAACTGAACAGCCACTAAAATACTAAGGTAGTGTCATTTAAATAAGCCAAAATAATTTTAATAATAATAATAATAATAATAATAATAATAATAATAATAATAATAATAACACTACGTCAAATACTTTCTAATACGTCTATCCACACCCTAACCATCTTTTTTATTTTCTTCTTTGGTAGTTAAGCCACATGGACAATGGAGTATGAAATGGCAACATGTTTAGACCTTAGCGTTTAATCATCCCACAAGCTGTCAAACAAGTATGTATAAATAAACTGAAAAAACAGCACATTAGTGTGGGTTTGTGGTTGTGCATATATTTGTTTTGCTTCGTTAACACATAACAACCTGTGTTTTTGGCCTATAACACAAAAGATAATTACATATAACAACTGTTTATAAAAAGGCGTGGAAGTTGAGAATTATGGTTGAAGGTTGACACGTGAGTTTCTCTTAGGCTTATCAGTAGTACTAGTACTATTCTTGTATTTTTTTATTTCCTCGTTTTTTATTATAATTACATGTTGTGTCATTCACTTCCGTTACCCTATTACCTTGTTGTTACTATTGGTTGTTGCTTTATTTTCACTATTTCTTGAGCCGGGGTTCTATTTGAAACAGTATGTCTACCTTCACAAGGTAGGGGTAAGGTCTATATACACACTATCCTCTCCAAACTTCACTTATGAGATTACACTGAGTTTGTGATCCGGTAGTATATATAAGTTAAATCCTTAAAATAAACATTAGACAAGAACTAGTGAAGTGAGGTGGCTTTTGGTTATATTACCCCAGCCCAAGATGAAGTGGTGAGGTCAAAGCAGCCAAAGCTTTTTATGTGAAAACAACCACTTAACTATCACTGGTATATTTTTCAAGGTCAAAGGTCTTTCATGGAACTGTGGAAATTATGAATTTTTGTATTATTAGTACTACACATTCACTGCAATTTCCCTATTGTTTCCACCCAAACAACCATTTAGGGACCCATATATGGGCCATAATCTTGACTCTCCACTTGGCCTTTCCCTATATAAATTTCCCTTTCTTGCAATATCTCTTAACCTTACTACATTTCTCTCTAACTACAAACCTTTCTACAAAACAAATTTTAGAGCCTATACTTCTTGAAAAAACACAAATTCCACTCTGAGACTATGGATAGATTACCAAAATGTGGAGCAAATTATGTGCCTCTAACTCCTCTTACCTTCTTAACTAGGGCATCCAAATGTTATGCCAATAGAACATCCATCATCTATGGTGATATCCGTTTCACATGGAGCCAAACTTACAAGCGTTGTTGTCGCCTCGCCTCCTCCCTTCGATCCCTAAACATTGTCAAGAACGACGTGGTAAGTATATTTGACATGTACAGTTAGTGTAGTTTAACCTATTATAGCACATAAGTTACTGTTTTTACTAGGTTAGCTCATCAAGTGATCTGATTATGTAAATATAATATTATTTATACTGTCAGTGCATTCTAACATGATTAGTATGTTTGTGACAAAAAATTTCAAAGCAATAAGTTAGGACTTTTTAACATGCATGACTAGAGTTTCCTCAACCAAATAACACATGCAATACAAGAAAATGAGCAAGAGATCCATACTATATAGTGATTACATCAACTAAATTATGTGTTTAATTATTAATTATATATGATTATGTGCAGGTTTCAGTGTTGGCTCCAAATGTTCCAGCAATGTATGAAATGCATTTTGCTGTGCCAATGGCGGGAGCTGTGTTGAATGCAATCAATACAAGGCTAGATGCTAAGAACATTGCAGTCATTCTCAAACACTCTGAAGCCAAAGTATTTCTTGTTGATTATGAATACCTAGAAATTGCAAAAAAGGCCCTCGAACTTCTAGTGGCCGACTTTGAGAAGTCCAAAACTTCTGAAATGCTGATGCCTCTCGTCGTTGTCATTGATGACATCAACTCCCCTACCGGAATCCGGCTAGGCGAGCTCGAGTACGAGCAATTGGTGTTCCAAGGAAATACAAGTTACATCCCCGAAGAAATTACCGATGAATGGGATCCAATTACCTTGAATTATACATCAGGTACTGTGAAATGTCGATCATTTCATCTAAAAATTTAAATTACTAAAAGATATATATTTTTATTGACTTAATTATGTTTTCAACAGGTACGACTTCAGATCCTAAGGGAGTTGTGTACAGTCATAGAGGAGCATATTTGAGCACTTTGAGTTTAACATTAGGTTGGGAAATGGGTACTGAACCTGTCTATTTATGGTCCTTACCAATGTTTCATTGCAATGGATGGACTTTCACTTGGGGCATAGCTGCAAGAGGTGGGACCAATATTTGCATTCGCAATACTACAGCCCAAGAAATGTACACAAACATAGTGTCGCATAACGTTACACATATGTGTTGTGCACCTATTGTTTTCAACATCCTTCTCGAAGCGAAACCACATGAATACAAAGCCATAACAACCCGAGTCCAAATTCTAACAGGTGGCGCACCACCACATGCGTCACTTTTAGAGAAAATTGAAAGACTCGGGTTCCATGTGGTCCATGCTTATGGGCTCACCGAGGCCACAGGCCCAGCCCTTGTATGTGAATGGCAACAAAAATGGAACAAATTGCCTAGTGAAAATAAATCCAAGTTGAAAGCAAGACAAGGAGTTGGGATTTTAACACTAGCCGATGTTGATGTGAAAAATTTCAAGAATATGCAAAGTGTGCCACGAGATGGAAAATCAATAGGGGAAATATGTTTACGAGGGAGTAGTATTATGAAAGGGTATTTCAAGAATGACAAAGCGAATTCGGAAGTATTTAAAAATGGTTGGTTTTTTACTGGAGATGTTGGAGTAATTCACTCAGATGGGTATTTGGAAATTAAAGATAGAAGCAAAGATGTGATAATTTCAGGTGGAGAAAATATTAGTAGTATTGAAGTTGAAAATGCAATTATGAGACATCCAAATGTAGTAGAAGCTTCTGTTGTGGCCATGCCACATTTCAGATGGGGTGAAAGTCCATGTGCATTTGTTATATTGCGCAGAAATTCAGAAATTAAAGAAGTTGATATTATTGCTTATTGTAAATCAAATTTGCCAGGATTTATGGTACCAAAAAAGGTGAAATTTGTGGAAAATTTACCTAAGACTGGAACTGGGAAAGTACAGAAACACCATTTGAGAGCAATAGCTAAAACTTTTGTTATTTCAGAAAAGTCAAATCAAACAAACAAGAAAACAAGTCAAGTCAACAGGGAAAAGGCGAGATATTACGATCAAAATCAGGAGCAGATTCTTGCTTTGTCTCGTTTATAGAGAATAATATTTAATAATGTAATAAGTATTATATTTGGAAGAAATGGTTGGTTATAAGAAGTCGTACTATTGTTTGAATACTGTAGCAGGAGTACTACTTTTTTGGCTGCTGTGGTTTTTTTTTTTTTTTTTTTTTTTTTTTTTTTTTTTTTTTTTTTTTTTTTTTTTTTTTTTTTTTTTTTTTACTATAGAGGAATCATGTAACTTTCAGTGACATATGTAATTGGAGTTAATAATTTTACTTTTTTTTATGGTAGAGTTACCTATCTGATAATGTAAATTTTTTTATAGTATCAATATATAAAAGTTAAGCTTTTTCCAGGTACTGTTGCATTGAGTGGTATATTACATTCCAATTAATATAATTCTAGCTTCATTTTGTGTGACAAAGGCTTTTTGCAGTTAAAAATAACCTAATTAATGTGAATTTCAAAATTAAATTTAAATAACTGATAAGCAAAATAGAGATTAAAATTGAGTACCTTGAAAAAAAAACCCAATTGTATAATTACTAAAGATGAAATTTAAAAGTATTTCATAATTATTATAACTTTATAACATACAATACTTAAGTGTTGTATACACTCATTTTCTGACCTGCTACTGTTAAAAAGAAATCTGTCAATATTGGATCATATTCTACTCAATAACTGGGACAGAAGTCCAAAACAGTAATGACTTCTAATCTTGTTCAGGGCCGGCTCTACCCATATCAAGTAAGGTATAACGACCCGATCGGTCATTTTGAGCTCTAGCATGTCATTTGCGATTTGAGACCTTGAGTAGCTTCACTTCAAGTATTATGACTTGCACGTATAGTTAGATTTGATTTTCGAGAAGTTCGGAGTTGGTTTGAAAGAATAATTCTCAATTCGAAAGCTTAAAGTTAGAAGAGTTGTCCAAGGTTTGATTTTTGAGTAAACGATTTCGGAATCGGGATTTGAAGGTTCCTATAGGTCATAAGATGATTTTGGACTTGGGCGTATGTTGGGGATGAGTGTCGGATGGTCTGGGAGCGATTCGGTGCTTATTATCGGAAGTTTGCATTTTGAAGGTTTGATATTTGTTAAGTTTGACTTAGAGTATACTTTAGTGTTATCGGACTCTGGGTGGTGTTTCGGGACCTTGGATAGGTTCACTTTATTGATTGGAACTTGTCTGTAAAGTTTGGTCATGATCCGGAATGTTTAAGAGTGATTCGGACACTTAAGTTGCATATAGTTATTTTTAAGAAAACGAGTTGACCATGGTCAAATAGTGCACTTAATGAGCTCGGATTCATGATTTAAAAGTTTCAACAGGGTTTTATGATAATTTTGGACTTGTCCGCAAGTTTTGGTTAAATTTCGGTGAGTTTCGGATGAGTTTGGATTGTGTTGCGCTCTTTCAACGTCGTTTCTTTTGGCATAAAGGGGACCATATTGAGAAAATAATTTTTTATTTGTGATTGGATTGAGCTATTAGATCTGTATTGTAATTATGGAGCCATAACAATAAGAATCGTCGAATTCCGAGGCCGTATGAAAGAGTTATGCTTTCTGTGTAGAAAAAGATTGTTGGTTTCTGGTGCGAACATTTGATCTTCACGAACGCAAGGGAGCTCCCGCGAACACGAAAAAGGAGTTTTGGGTTGACTAGTCAACGCAAAAAATTGCTTTTCGGGAACACGAAGGTATCATGTGAAGGCGATGAACAAAAATCACCTAGGTAGTGTTTTAAATCGAGTATTTTAGTATTTTGAGCATATCTTGAGTTCTAGAGCTCCGTTTGAGGTGATTTTTCCGGCGTTGTTCTCATCTCAAAAAAGGCGGTAAATATCCGACCTTTATTTTCATATTTTTCCATGATTATTTCTGTTGATTATTTAGTTTTATCTGTGTGTAAATTATAGAAAGTGGAGTTTTGAGCCCCCAAAGTTGAGAAATGATGAATTCTTAATTTAAGGATCAATTCATGGATGAAATTGGATGATTTTATTTATGTATACTATAACTTAAGAGTAATACTTATTTTTGATAAGTTTCGGAACCGGGCACGTGAGCACGTGGGTTGGCTATGTTGACTTTTCGAGAGGAGTTGAAAATTATTATAAATTATTAAATTACGAGTGTTAGAGGTTTGATTGGTTTGCATGTTGTTTGATTAGTTTCGAATCATTTGGCATCAGTTTTAGGAGTTAGAGAGGCGTTGTAGCCGGTTATCAGATTTCAGAGCAAGGTAAGTCTCATATCTAACCTTGTGAGGGGGAATTTATGTCGCAGGTGTTATAATTGCTATGTGTTATATGTTGTGGGGGCTACACACATATGAGGTGACGAGTGTCCGTGCGTATTCTATAAATCCTAATTAGGTCCGGATTGATTTAAACTCATGTCATAATTGTAATATTTGAGTTATTCTTGCATATTAAATTACATTAATTTATGTTTTTGTCTGAGACTAGACTTTGATAAGTGGGGATTTTGACTGATCATTAATGCCTTTTAGCTTTTGTTTTAGCCTAAAAGCATTGAATTGTGTTCTCGAAACTAATGATATTATACAGAATTATAGGAATGCTGGAAGTTGGGCTCCCGAGATAAAATCTGACTCAAAGAGGAGTAGTCCAAGCGCAAGGCATAAAGGGCACAAAGCACATAATGTGCGGTCAAATTGCGGACATCAGAATTCTACCTGCAGCTGCAAACAAAGAAGAATGTATAGCAAACATTTGTGCGAATTGCGGACCGCTCATGAATTGTGCTACCGCAAAGTTGGGCTAAGAGCCGAAGATCAGAGAGTATGCAAAATGACCAAGTCAAGAGCCTCAGTGAATTGTAGACCGCACAAGATTTGTATGGCCGCAGAAGATTGCCTTGCGACCGTAGTCCTAATATTGAGGACCGCAGAAGAGCTACCTTGCGACCGCAATATTAGGCCTTGCGGCTTCAGAACTCCAATTCCTGCCAAATGAAGAAATCTGCGGACCACATATGGAATGGTGCGGCCATAGAACCTCCCGAGGGGGTATTTTTGTCCGAGATTTTCAGCCTTGTATAAGTAGACGAGTTTCACAAAATTAGGTCAAGTTTGAACCTCTACAATTACTGTAGCCGTTTTTTGCCATTTTTGGAAGTTTACTTTACTTTGGTGTATTTTACAATAGATTTAATTATTTTAAGCATTTCATTATGAGTTTTATCAATATTTCTTCTCTATTTTCTTAAAACCCAAGTATGAGCAACTAGATTTTTACTAGGGTTGTGACCTATCCCTAGTGTGTAAACCTTATGGGTATCTAATTTAGTGTTTGTTTATGATTGGGTGTTTATTATTTAGCTTAGGTCATGCTTTAATTGTGGAATTAATGGTTGCAAATATTAGTTCATGCCTATTTGACTTAGTCTCTATTTGAAAGAGACCTAGTCTAGGATAACTTAGCTAACAAGGAATTGGTCAATCAAGAGACTGATTAACCCAATTAAAATGTTCAACCTAGAGGTAGTAATAACTTGACTTGATCTTTTATTAAATCTTTTGTGAGATACCCATTTGGTCTTGAAATTTAAATTGGGCAAAATCACTCTCTAGCCGAGAGGTATTGAGTGGGTAACTTAGAGTTGATAGCTATGATACACTCCAATCAATAAAATAAGCATTAAATTCTTTATCCCACCAGGCAAACACCTAGGTAATGGTCATAGCCCTAGGCTTTTTATCAATTTGAAAAAAACCTCAAAAACAACTATCTCTAGTCGTCTTTCTTTATATCGCAATCTTATAGTAAAATTAAACATAAAAAATAAATCTTTGTGTGGAAGTGTAATCTAGATAATTCAATCACTCACATTGAAATTATATACCCCTAACTCCCATCTTAGCTCCATGTAGATTTGACCCCGACTTTTAATTGGGTTTCTATTATTGCAAACGACCATTACATATCTCTATTGAGGTTTGGACGTGATCATTTTTTGGTGTCGTTGCCGGAGAGTTAAAAACAATATTAGCTATATATTTAGGTGTGTTTTTGGAATATCTTCTTTTTCTTCCATTTTACTAACTTGTTTGAGAAGTCATAGGTACAACCATGGCAAATAATAAGCTCGGAAATATTGCTTTGAGGGATGTGGATGCCGAGGATGAGCAAGTTGATAAGGTTACTCTTGAACCTCAAGCCAATAGAAGAGGTCGCATTCCATATGACAATGCCCCCATTCCACCCCCACCTCCTCCACAAGCGGCTCCACACCGGTGTTACCCAATGAAGGATATGCAAGTGCAATAGACCCTCCCCGTATTAGGACGGACAACTTTCAAATCACCAATGTGATGCTCACTTTGCTAGAACAATGAGGTTTCTTTACTGGTGTTCCAAGTCAAAATGCATACAAACATTTGAAGGGGTTTGTGGTTTGTTGGGGGAGCAAACAAACAAATGTCTCCGAGGATGCATTGAGGCTAAGGCTTTTTTCCTTCACTCTACGGGGGGAAGCTTTAGATTGGTTGGAACAATTGTGGAATCATTCCATTCACACTTGGGATGAGTTGGCGGAAAAGTTTATTTCTAAGTTCTTATTTTCGAGGTATATGACTACACTTTGGGATGAGATTTTGGCATTCAAGCAAGAGTCAAATGAACCACTACACGAGATATGGGAACGATATAGAACAATGGTTAAGGAATGTCCCAATAACGATATGACAGAGAATATGATTCAACAAATTTTTTATCGTGGGATCAATACAACCAACCAACGTGTAGTGAATCAACTTGTCAGTGGGAATTTCATGACTACTCCTTATGCAGAGGTGTGTGAGATTTTAGATGAAATGGCGAAAACATCATCGGCGTGGCAATCCCGGGCTAATATTCCACAAGGTGATCCCAATATGATCCACCTTCACAAAGAGTTGCATGACCATGGACAAGCCATTGCTGAATTGACTACCACCATGAATCAATTAGCAAAGGCTCAACTTCAAAAAGAGCAAAATCATAAGCAAGTCAATTCCATGGAGGGAGTGAACATGATGGTGAATAAAAGAAGTACCAAGCGTCCGCAAGTGCAACATCGAGTGGAGAATTATGTGCAAAAGGATGGTGGGTTTGATCAAGACGATTCTTAC